TTCACAATAGACATTTATACACCATTCGATAGAGAATTTCAAGGGCTACATTTTACACTATTTATATTTGATATACGAATTATTTGAATTTTCGGCCTAATGTCCGCTTGGATGCCCACTGTGTACTAATAGGTGCGAATAAGGAGTTGGTCAGAATTTTCTTGACAATCTGAATACCTTGTGTACCTGTTTAAAATATAAAAAAATAGCAAATAGAGAAATACTCTTAGATGGAGGAAAAACTATCCAATATAATTCAGCCTTTGCAATTATTGGTGGAATGAGACTGTCTTCAACCACAAAAGCACTCGCTGATCTTGATTGGATTCCGATAGAAGAAGCCTTCGTTACTCAGCGACTTTGCTTATTTTATAAAACTAAGTTTGGTAAAGCATCCCCTTCACTTCAGTCTCTCTTCACTATCATTATTCGTTGCAACATAGAACAATGGTATCACCATTTGCCGGTTTATCAGGTTTAGACAATAAAATGTTTATGAAAAATTACAATTGTCTTTCGTGGGATTTAGTATATGATTTAGATTTATCAAAATGTTTAATACCATATTTTGATCCAAATTGTACAGATAATGCTGGAGGTACATATGATCTAAAGTCATATGCCTATGACTTTTTGTTCATGGAAGTACTGCAGATTTGATCAGAGAAAATTACATAGCTTCCAATGATATTTTCAATTTGTCCTTAACTCTCAATCAATACTTCACTTCAAATATTAGTTGATAATGAATTATTAGAACATGATTTGATATTTTTCAAAGCGTTATATAAAACAACTAAGACAGTACAAGTTATCAATGAAACAAAGTTTACTAAAGCATTTCCATCACATTATACTCATAAGAAACCGATAAATAATCTAAAAAATATTAGAGTATAAACGAAATTGACACAAAAACATACAATTTTTTACAGTAATTTATAACGAAAACGTGCATAATTCTCTTGGAGCTGATTAAGAATATATAGTTTTGATTTTTCGAAACGTTTTTTTCACGTCGAAAAATCGAGGAAACTCGAACGACCACAATATTCGAAAAATGATGATGTTCAAAAAAACTTCAATTTTTCTACTTGGGTTTTTGGTCGGAACGTTCAAATTATTTTTTTTCTTATTTAACGTTAAAACTGAGTTAAAAAATAATATTAGATTCATTTCGGAGGTAAACGCCTGTCCACCATGGACGTCCGAAAAGACCAATGGTAAATAAGGGAACAAATAAATTCGAGATGATTCGTAGTATAATGATATTCGTACTTATGTTTAAAGAAGTGTCTACAACTAAACGACGATTCAAGAATTTCGAAGACTTCGATTGCAAGGTTCGTTTTTTCCAAGATGCTAACACAAGAAGTCAAAAAACGTCAGGTTCTTGGAAGTTTTGACATTTTTTTGAGTCAACATGTTACTGGAAAACTCCAAGAAATTGTCATCTTACATCACAAGAAGTTTTTTAGAACTTATAACAACAAAAAACAGAAAGCATAAGAATTCTGAGAGTTCAAAACTGTGGCATGTTGCAATATAATAAATGTAAAAATTTTAAAAAGACAACTGGACGGTATAATCGTATGGACTAGAGTGAACTCAAAAATTCCGGATATCATGGACTCAAACACCCGAATAATGATTGGTTTTTAGGAAGTTCTGATGTACACATCTCAGTGAATTCTGTTAGATTATCTGCTTTGCAGTACACACTACATAGAGTTATTAATACTTACATTTTATCTTAGTCGTCTGAGTTTCCGCTTCATAATAGTAGTATTATGTGCTTTATTTCAATATTATGGCCATTGTGTTGAACACTGATAGAAGGAATTATTTTCCAATTTATGGAAATGTCGATGTAGAAAATCGGTAACTGTTTTCGAGCCTATATCAAATGTTGGACGATTTTTGAGCAAAACGCAAAATGCAGATTTTCTGTAAAATCGGCTTTTTACTGACGAGGGAACATTTTTAACTGCCCAACTCCGATTTTTTTCAAACCTGTGTCGATCGATAGCCCACAGAGAGATAGTAAGCAGCCTCAATGCTTTCGGGCCCGTGATTCTTGAAGATCCCGTTTTCTGGAAAACCATTTTTTTAGAAACTATAAAAATAACGAAAACCCTTTCTTAATGATGCATGATTGTAGCCCGCACATTTCTGATTAAAGTGAGACGTCCCCCAGCTCTACACAACCTTTCTCTGCAAAGTTACAGAATTTACAAGAAAAGTCCTAAATCAATTTCTTCTTATTTCTGTACCCTCGAGCTGACAATGAATATTTAGGGCTTTTCTTATAAATTCTATAACTTTGCAAAGAAAGGTCGTGTAGAGCTGGGGAACATCTCATTTTAATCAGAAACGTGCGGACTACAATCATGCATCATCAAGAAAAGATTTTGGTTATTGTTTAGAGTTTCTGAAAAACTAGTTTCACAGAAAACGGGGCCTTCAAGAGTCATGAGCTCAAAAGCTTTTAGGCTTTTTACTGTCTCAACGTGGGCTATCGATCGACATAGGTCTGGAAAAAAATCGGAGTTGGTCAGTTGGAAATGTTCTCTCGTGGGTAGGAAAACGCTTAGCGATTTTCCCTTATATAAAAAATCCTTTTTGGTTTTCTATAAAAGCGAAATTCTTTTCATTTTTTAAAAAGTCGACTAAGTTTCTAGAAAATGAAGTAACAAAACATAAAAAATGATTCGATTTTCTAATGTTTTTTCGCAAATTAGAGAATGGATGGCTGTTCTAAAGACTCTATCGACGGACCAGTCGAAACGACGGCATATGAAAGGGACCAAAGAATTTAGTAATGGCCAACAAACAACTGGTCTTTGTCCTTTCTTTTCTGTTCATACACGGTTGGATTATTAAAATCCTTGTCAAGTAGACATACCTTTACTTGTTGCACTCTCAATGAGCATTTCTTTAGTAAAAAGTTTTGTTTCTTTTGCCCATCGCGTCATATACTCTCGCTCTAACCGCTTGGATATCAATGTATTGGCTTTGACTCATTTATTCGTAGATATAGACTACACTTGTCCGTGCCTGATGACACTGATCGGTTGGTTAGACAAGATGAATGGAAAGTGACCTGCACTTGGTTATTGCTGCTTTGCTGTCTGTTCAGAACAATCTTGAGATACTTTAACTGAAGTACAGCTTTAGAAGGAGAAATTTGTCCTATTCGTAGAACAATTTATATAGAGAAGGAGTTACTTACTTGCTTCGGCTCCAAACTTTCTTTGCAGACTGACATAGTTTCCTAACGGGCACTGTTAAAATCCGTGTGGTTTCAATTGAAATTTGTTTAGTGTATACAGTACCGACTTCTGTGATGCTATTGCTTCATCCGTTGGGCACTTTTATATTTGTTTTTAATTTGTTAATTTTGTACTGTTTTCAATCTTATTTGCTGTTGTAAAACAACAACAAGTTACACAATACACAAGAAGAAACATGCAAGTAAATTTAAAAATTCGTCTGCTTTGTAAAAAAATAATTCGAATTTTCGATTTTCAAAGAGTCCATATAGTAAACAGATTCCGATTTTTCAGACAATAGTATTCGATTTTCTTTTTCTTTGAAAATATGATTTTCCAATTTTTAAAACTGATTAGGATTTTTTAGAAAATCAACCTCCAATTTTCTAAAAAACTGAAAACATTTTTTAGAAAATCATATTTTTAACAAAATAGAAAGTTTGGATCGATTTACTATATGAACTTTTTGAAAATCATATTTCTTTTGTATAAAATATTTTCTACTTTACAGCGAAGGAATGAAATATTAGTGCCTACTAGACACTTTTTGACTCTTGCACAGTTTTGATTGTACAATGCAGTACATTCAGGGGTATATAGTTCATTTAACCCTTTCAGGACCGGGTTAATTTTTATATAAAAAGTGCTGTTCAAAAGTTGAAGACCTTTTTTATTTTGCAATATCTCGGCTTCCCTGACAGATAGAGACTTCATCCTTTTGTCAAAAGAA